ATAATATATCAGTTTCTCTCTATACTTGTCTTTACTTTATAGTCTTTATTTTATAACAGAAATCAATTTCTTCATAAAATATCTAATTTTCACTTGAAGATACATTTTGGAAACTTTCAAAAATTTGAAAAACTTCAAAAAGATGTTTTTCAGAATTTTCACTCAAATCACTCACAAAACTTCAAAAATAACCCAAAATCATATTCATATCCAAACACAACTCTAAATTTCAAATACCATTTCACTTAAAAATAAATTTCCCCCTATTTTAAAATTTTACAATTCTTATGTCCAAACGCCCACTTATTAAAATGTACATTTTTCCCCTAGTCAGTTATATTTTAATAATTTTTTGAGTTTTCGTGAATTCAATTTGTAGTTTTGTACTTTTGCGTCCTCAACATTATAGTAGCCCTCGTTTCTCCTCTGCCATTTTGATGACAAAAACTCTCTCTCTCTATCTTCCTCTATCGGTATTTACGGCTCCGCTTTGTTTTGATCTTCAAAAGCTAAGCTAGGGTTTTTGCTTCCAAATACTTGAAAAAGCCTTCACCGCTCCGTCCTCCATCTCGAATCTCTAGATTCGATTTTAGGGTTCACAGATCTGTTCGCCGCCTGCCGTGTAGCTCGCCGTTTATCTGATTCGAATATGTTTTGGAAGCTTCCAGTTCTTTCCTCTTGTTCTCCAGTATGTTTCTGGATCCATCTCTATCTACTGTTCAAATTGAATGAGCTAATAAAATTTTATCGACTCAATTGTTTTTGATTTTCCGTTATATTTTGCTCGTAAACTTACTTCTTGTTGACGTTTAACTTTGTTTAGCTCGTCATAATTAGTTATTAAAAATGATACTTTAGTTTTGAGCTAAGTTTCATGTGATTTTATAATTTGGCACACCTCTAATAAAAAGTGAATTCAAATGTGAGTAGAATCGTAATAGTATTTCATATTAATTGAATTCATGATGATAACTCTATAATCTAACCAAACCAAAAAAAAAAATCAATGAAACTTTGGTAAAAGTGAAAATCTATGCAATTTATAATGGTTTTTTAGTTGGAGTATTTTTTGGATTGCTGAGTCTTTTTATAGCTGTAAGCACTATCTGCTGGCAGGAGTATTTCGTAATGTAATTATATGGTACTCCTAGTATTTTATGTACATCTCTTTCTTGCATAACCTGGTGTTGCATTATTCTTATTCCGACATTGACCAAGTCTAGCTCGAGCTGTAAGTACTGTTCAATGAAGCTGTTACCTCAATGCAGTGTGTGTTTGTTTGCTCTTTCTGTTGACTTTCTTTCCATCCTGGTGAGTACTGTTGCTTATGGTAAGACTTGTTTTTCCCTTGGAATTCTAGGTTGAAGCAGTATTAGACAAGGAAAACTTCACTTTGGAAGAGCTGCTTGATGAAGAAGAAATCATCCAAGAATGCAAAGCTTTGAACAGTCGTCTCATAAATTTGTATATTTTCTCTCATTTTTACTATATAGATGCTTTTAATTTAGCATGCCCCCAGGAGAGAATATAGTTCCTGAGTAATTGTTTATTAGTTCAGCTATAAATTTCAAAGTTCACAGTAAGATGGTTATCATTTTCGCTTTTCAGTTTGAGAGAGAGGACCCAGGTTGAGCAGTTGCTGCACTACATTATTGAAGAGCCTTCTGAGGTTGCTGATAGCAAACGAACATTTAAGTAAGTTTCTAGGACATGACCTCGCTTTAACTGTTATGCAGTAGTTGTATTTGCAAGTGTCTGCAGTTTCTTAAATATAGTAATTTAACAACACTTTTTCCTTGGTTTTAATGTTGTTTCACCTTCTAGGTTCCCTTTCATTGCCTGTGAGATATTTACCTGTGAAATTGATGTGATCCTTAAGACTTTAGTGGATGATGAAGAGGTATTGTATTCAGAAGATGCAGTCATGATAATTTAAGTAAGAAATGAACTTCTCTTGCTCTGATGTTTCAATCGTCTCTCTGTCTTGCTGCAGCTAATGAATTTGCTCTTTTCCTTTTTGGAACCAAGTCGTCCGCATAGCGCCTTGCTGGCTGGGTATTTTAGTAAGGTAAAATTTGACTCATCCAGACAAAATACCTTGGTCTTAGTTGTTGAATCGTTTTTTTTTGGGTCTAAAACAATTTGCTTTATGTAGTTCTTGCTGCATTGTAGGTGGTGATATGCCTTATGGTGCGGAAGACTGTTCCACTTATGAATTATGTTCAGGTTTGCCTAGTATTTTCATTGCACATTATGAATTGTACATGTTATTGACACACTCCCATTTCTTCTTCTAATAGTTTTTTCCATGTGTTGGACTTTATCTTCTGTTCCATCTTGAGCTTAAGCCGTTGCTTCATTTTCCAAATTCCAACTCATCCTATATTCTAGAAGCCTACGATTTCTAATACTAAAGCTGCATAACTCATTTTGCATTCTTTGGAAGCTTGTGCTTGGCTGCTTGGCATTTACCTTATCTTGATGAAAGTTGAACTAAGATATGCTGGGAACGAGTAGTTTTAGGGTCCGGAATTTTCATTATGTTTTAACGAAGTTGTCAGAATCTGTTGGGGAAGTTGATATTGATATGTATTCTTGCAAATCTACTTAATCTGGGTTAATGGGCGGTGAAGCTAGGAGGATCATGAGTTCATTACATGTTTAAACTGCTTATTGAACACAGAGCTCGCTAATGTAAGAAAGTTTGCCTCAGGCATCTTGTTTTTGGGCGGGAATTAGCGCTTAAGATCCATAATTAGGCCATTCCATTTGCAAACTCTGCATAGAAATTGATTTAATGCATATTGGATTGCTTTGAAATGTGTAAATGCTTGTTTTAAATGCATTTTGTCTCCTCTTTTTCCTCTTAAGGACTTGGTGTTTATTTATTTTTTGTTACAGGCCCATCATGATGTTTTTCAACAGATGGTGGATTTGATTGGTATAACATCCATAATGGAGGTTAGTAAGCTTGGTTTTCATTCTACCATCTGACGCAATCATTAATAAAGTCAAATCGTGATGGTTGATCCAGCGAAGACACTCTTTTCCTCTAAATAAGTCCTTTCTTTGTAGGTTTTGGTGCGACTTGTAGGAGCTGATGATCATATGTACCCCAATACCATGGATGTAATGCAATGGTTGGCTGACAGCAGCTTATTAGAAATGATAGTGGACAAATTGAACCCCTCTGTAAGTAAAAAATTACGTGATTTTATGTTAATTCGCTGTGCTGATGGTTGTGGATGTATATACTAGTGCAAAATGTTCACAGAGTATTCTAGTATTGGGTGTGTCTTTTCCAGAGTATATGATCACATTGCTTCGCAGTCTGTTGGTATCTATTATTGTGTCTCTTGTTATCATTATTATTTCGTAGTGCCTTTATCAATCATCCATCCAACCATGCTTTGCCTGGTTTAAATGCTTAGGTTGTTGGTTATTCAGCGGTGCGCAGAGTCTAATGGCCTTTTGGTCTTAGTAGCAGAAGGATCTTAGATGTCTTTCAGTAGTTGATAGGAATACCTGTTACCATACCACTGAACTATTGGGCCAAATCCCCTCCAATTATGAATGCATGTCCTTGTTGCTCCACCTTAATTGAGTTGACTGGAAAATCTATTTTTTCTTTAATCATTCTTAATTCTTGGTAATAGTTCATATATTTCTAAGTTATGTGTGGAAGCACTTTGCGACTTGGTCTTTTACGGAATGACGATCCGAAGTTCGAATCTCGTGATATATTGTTTTTTCCCCTTCAGAGTTCTCCCGAAGTTCATGCTAATGCAGCAGAAGCACTATGTGCAATAACCAGAAACACACCATCCCCCCTGGCCACCAAACTATCCAGTCCAAGGTTTGTGGAACTTTTTTTTATACTTGGAAGTTGATATGTCTTGGCATATCTTTTCTATATATTGTAAGTTTAATTCATTAATCTCTGCAACTCTCTCTGGATGCAGTTTTGTAGCCAGGATATTTGGTCATGCCCTCGAAGACTCACATTTGAAGTCTTCCCTTGTCCATTCGTTGTCTGTCTGTATGTCTCTGCTTGATCCTAAACGATCAATTCCATCAACTATGATGTATTCTTTCCGGAACCAGCAGGTTTATGAGTCTCCCGTGCATGCCAATCCTGACACTATTGATGCAATGCTTCCTAAACTTAGTAAGTTTTCTGATTGTGGAAGTTTGTACGGTTTTGAGTTATTGAATACTTGTTTACCTGTGTCCCACCATTTAGAGGTCAATTTCAAGTTCTCTACTAGAGACCAGCTGGTAGAGAATTGTAAAAAATGCAATGCCTTTACAAAGTGATTCTGTACTGCCACCTGGCAAAAGCAAGAAAAAAATTACTAGTAGAATGCTACTTGTATTTGTGAATTTTTTTATTTGAATCTCGTCTTGAACGGTATAATAAACTTTGCATCATTAATGGCACAGGTGGCTTGCTTGAGCTGTTGAATGTGTCATCTGATGAGAAGATTCTGCCAACAACATATGGAGAACTCAGGCCACCTCTAGGAAAGCATCGCTTAAAGGTTTGTCTTGGTTACATTCTTGGAACAAAATAGCACCTTCTATTATTCCTTTCCATTTGATTCGTTTTCCCCCAGGAGTATATGCGAAGAGAGAACTTCACTATTATGATGTTTCCTCTTTTTGTCAAGGGATCAAATATTTTTGTCTTCTCTTGCAAAGGAGTTGTACATCTTGTGTATGTTGCTCTGATGGCAACTTGTCATATTTTTATCAGGTTCTAGTACTTGGGATAGTAAGCTTTGAATAAGTACATCCAATTCTTGAATGCTTGCAGCATTGGTGTCTGTGGTCTATTGAGTTAGTAATCTTGTCCAAGTTTTTTGATCTCATCGTAGAAGTGTCGTATCTTCCTTGTAGATTGTTGAATTCATTTCTGTGCTACTGAAAACTGGCAATGAAGTTGCGGAGAAAGAATTGATTAGCTCCGGAACAATTGAGAGGGTCCTGAATCTCTTTTTTGAGTAAGATTTTATGTCGTTGTTCCTGGATTCTTTACCTTATAAATTGTTTGGACTGAACGTTCTTACATCCTTATTCTTGAATTTTTTAAAACCAATTTCTTGTTTGACATTCTTACTACTTAATTCCTGTCTAGGTACCCTTATAACAATGCGTTGCATCATCATGTTGAGAGTATAATTTACTCATGCTTGGAAAGCAAGAACATTGCAATCGTCGACCATCTTTTTGAAGAGTGCAATTTGATTGGGAAAATTATTCAAACAGATAAACAGCCTACAGTTTCTGGTGAAGAAAATCAGGTTAATCTTTGTGAAGCAACAAAATCCTTTGATATGCCTGTTTAATTTGAACAATGCAGTTTTAATGCCTGGTAATGACTTGTGTAAGTGTTTAATGGTGTTTTTAACTGATGCAGCCCACCTTACCAGCTACTGGGAGACGAGCACCCCGATTAGGTAACATAGGGCATATAACTAGGATTTCTAACAAACTCGTTCAGTTGGCAAACAATGATAACTGCATTCGAGCACATCTCGAGGTTCGTCATATATAATTTTGTTGCTTGATATGCTTCTCTAAACCTAGGTCCCGAGTCTTTCTCTGAATTAATTATTACTGAAGCTTTATGTTAAAATTTACTGTGTTTCCTTTAAGATAACATTCTTTTTGGAAACTTCACGAGGGCCACTGGAAAATTTTAACAAACAATTACTTGCCTTTCCACACTCCAGAAATTCTAAAAAAATTGTGCACTGAAACTTGGTTCCTTTTTGACAAATTTGGAGACTGCATTGACATATATTCTGCCGTGCATGGCATTAGAAATAGTTTGAATGATCTGTTGCCAAAAATTTCCTTTTCATGAATCAATAATCGCTCCTCATGCGGGCAGTCTCTTTTTCGAGATGGCCTTTGGTATTGATATGCTGAATCTCTTGGCCTTTGGTATTGTTATTGCTGATTCTCTCTGGTTTCCTGCTACTACTTATTTGGTGTTATTGGTATTGTCTCTTAATAATGATATTGCTGTTCTCACTTGTTTTTCTGCACACTGTGTACTCCAGAAGAATATGGAATGGAGTGATTGGCATACTACTGTTTTACAGGAGCGTAATACAATAGAAAATGTCTATCGCTGGGCTTGTGGGTACGGTTCTCTTTTTTCTGATTCTGCTACTTGATTGCCAATATGAAATCACCCATAATGGTTGTCTGCATTATACTTTAAGATCTGAAGCTGGATAATTATTTTACTGAAGCTATTGCTTGGAACAGTTTCTGGGCTTTCTATATATATGTAAAATGATGCCCCTTTACAGTAGTAGTACAGAATGGAAAAGTAAATAATGAGTATGCACAAATGAAGTTTGAAGTATCGGATACTTCAAGCAAATCATTCATTATAGTGTTGGTGTTGGTGTCCTAACAAGCGCTGCACTCCCTGTCCGTAATTCCTTCTACGCAAGTTTTTGAATATTCAATTATGAGGAGGAAGTAGAAAATGGGGAAAAGAGAAATGTGGGTGGGTGGGATAAGCTAGGAATACCGGAAAGCACCTGCTTTCGCTCGCAACAATCTGACACAATATACTTGTTCATTGTTGTGATCTAGTGTCTAAGATGTGTCGGTATTAGATGAAACAAATTCTGAGGGAAATTCGTTAATGAAATTGTCAAGAGAGGCTTGCAGAATTTCATTGGGATAAACATGGATTTGAAGAACTGTTTAAGACGAGTGGAGGTCTAAGGGTGGTTTCGAAAAGTTCTTTTGGAGGCAAAGACACTTTTAAGTTTATTAGCTAATCCCTTTTCTGCTCTGCTGCTTTTCCACAAAATAATGAGTTAATGACTTTATTCGTATGACCAGCCGACCAACTGCATTGCACGACAGAACAAGGGAGAGCGATGAGGAAGATGTTCATGACAGAGACTATGATGTAGCCGCTTTAGCAAATAATCTGAGTCAAGCATTCCGCTACACCATATATGATAATGATGATGCTGAAGAGGTAAATTTCTTTCGTTTTGGGAGGGGAAGTTTGGGACGGTGTGGTAGAGGGTGAGGTTCTGCATGCAAAAAGAAGAAAAAGAGGAACGTGTAAGCTCATTAACATTTTTGAATTGCAACCCCATATCGACTTTTGGTTATGGGGAGACTTTTAGTATCAGCTCACTCAGGTCTTTCTTGCATTTTCCAGGGGCGTGGAGCTCTTGATCGAGATGATGAGGTAATACTTTCATGTCCCTGATTAATTCATCTTCCTTGTTGTATATATCACCGGTCATTATTGCATTTGTTATTTGTTATCGCTTGCCCTGGTATTCATCAGAGTCCTATGTTCATGCCTTTGTAGGATGTTTATTTTGATGATGAGTCTGCTGAAGTTGTGATATCATCCCTTAGGTTGGCAGATGACCAGGGGAGGTGAGTTCAAGTTCTCATGTTCTGAAGGAAATTTTGTCAAGGAGTCACTTGAGCGCATTTGCTTCTAGCAAAGAAAGTGAAAAAAAGAGAGTACAGATGACAAGAAAGAGAAATGCGTTGCTTTCCAATTATTTGACTTAATGTGTTTTTTAAAATTTTTTTGGGGTCTTCCAGTGTGTTAAAAATTGAAGAGTTCGCATGAAAACATGGCTCAACTAACATGAGCTCATAACACCTTCTAAAATCAGGAAAACGGACATACATCTCTTATAGGTGGGATGTAAAACGACCTAACATGCTGTAGTCTTTACAAGATCTCCACTTGCATATGATCTTTTATATTTGTTTAAAATTTACTGGAGTTTAAGCAATAAGGTAGTATATCTAGGCTTTAGAGTTGTAACATCTCAGTTTTATCTGTTAGGACTTATCACTGTTTGTATAACGGCTATCTTTTCCTTTTCTCCCGCCTTTCAACTTCTGCAGCAGTTTGTTCACAAATTCAAACTGGTTTGCTTTCCAAGATGATAGAATTGGTGATGCTTCAATGAGTACCTCACCTACTGATGTAATGGAGGATATTAATCTCAATGGAATGTCAAATAGTAGTAACAGCAATAGTGATGATGAAGTGGTAGTTGGAGAAGAGGATGAATTGGCTGAGAGCAAAAATTCTAATGCAACACCCAGTTCTAGTTCAAACATGTTTAATGGGCTAAGTGGAGCCAATTCTGGTAATAATGGAGACTTCAATCAACAGAATGAGAAAGCAGTCGCCTCAGCTGACATGACTCCGTTCCATTTTGAGACGTCAGGCAGTGATGACCCCTTTGGAGACAGGTCTCTACCCGAATGGGTAGCATGGGGAGATGCCCCAAATATTCAAGTTGGTGGATCCAGTGTGAACCCATTTGAAGATCATAATAATTCTGCTGACCATATTGCTAACTCGGGGGAGAAAGCAACTCCACCACTTAGTTCCACTTCTAGTTGCAGTGGAGAATGTATTCCAAATGGTGTTTCATCCCCTGGTTCTAGCAAAAGTTCATCTGGATCTGATTCTAGTCAGAAAGCAGCCACTGTTCCTTCGTTGTTTGAAGAGGATGTTGAATTTGTTGGCGTGGAAATTGAGGGTACTGAGAAGGCTATGGAACATGCTCTTAAAGAGGGGATTGTTGGCGAAGCCGCTCCACTAAAAAGGAGCACTGTTCCTAAATCACCGGAAAAGGAAACCCCAGATGATGGTGGGGCAGGAACAAAAGAGTTCAACGATGCAAACTACTGGAGAGTCGATCAAGAAGTTGCTGTACTGGAATGACTCTGGAGATCTATTCATCGTGGTTTGAACCTTGATCCAGAGCTGATAGCCAGGATCCCGAACTTTCCAGGATCCCGAACATTCGATTGGTGAGTTTATGCAGCAGATGTGTACAGTGTACTTTGTTTAAAATTGGGATCAAACGATAGGCTAATATAAGGTTGTCACCAATTAATTATTGTTACGCTTATTGATAATTATTGTTCAGGTTTTGTTCTCACTGTAAAATTTTGGTTTCATCTCGTCTTAGCGTACGATACCTTTCTGGAGTTGTATGGATTCTGGAGTAATCTCAGTTCTCCATCCCATTAGGAGCAGGCGTAAAGGCTGCCTTGTTGAGACAAATGACTTATAATCTCGTTTTTTCCTGCTTTGATAATCATGTGTTGGGTGTTGGTGCATTGGTTTTTTTATTTATTTATTATTTTAAGTACCTTTGCTGATCAATTGGATGAATCTGCTAAGCATTTTTTACTATGCGATTGATTATGACTAAGACAATAAGATTAACAAGCATATTTTGTTCCAATAAAAGAAATCAGGGTGAGTATAAAAAGCTGCCCGCTCTGACACTCATAAAAAAAAACATTTGAAGAAAAATTGTTGGTTGATATTCAAACCTGATCTTCCCGCACTTCTTACATCTTTACCTCTAAATATGTATATTTATTGGGATTTTACAAAGGGAAGTACAACGCTGTTAAAATTTTTTGGCGTAATGGTTTCCTAACCACTTAAACTTATTTAAAAACTTATTTAAAAGCCGATACATGAACTTGTACTTTTCCCGTTTGGACACTAATTTGATGCAATGGATGCTAATAAACACATTTGACCATTGACTATGCCTATGTAGATACGATGCAACTGACAAAGCTAAATTATGTGCAAATCACGCCGCAAAGGCGTATGAATAGTATTGTTTTTATTAAAAAAAATATGAGAATCAAAATTAAATATAAATGAGACAGAAAAAAAGAGACCTTTCCCTTTCCTCTTCTCATTTACCCTCCATCCCACCTCTCTCGTCTTCCCTACCAAACTCCCACCTCCCCTTTCCCTCTCCCCCTTCTATTCTACCATGTTAATAAAGTCGGGTATTTTAATTTTTTTGTTCACCATTTCTTTTTCTTGTGTATGCTCCTTCTAATTTTAAACTTGACTCGAGGAGTCTAATCTCCGTTGTTTTGTTCTTAGTGAGGAGTCTAATCTCTATTGCCGCTTGCTTTTGTTCTTAGTGAGGAGTCTAATCTCTATTGCCGCTTGCTTTTGCTCGTCAATTAAACTTGACTCGAGACCGGAGACAAGTTGCTCGATTAATCAGAGTTTTAAGAAGCGCAAGACAAAAATAGCAGTCGATTTTGTGAAGAAGCGGTTGGAAACTTGTTGGATCTCACTATTGAAATCACTGAAAGCTGAGGAACTTGCGTTAATACTGAGATCGGTGAGAGTTCTTCCCAAATAGGTGAAATTCGATTGAACTTCAGTCAAGTTTAAGTGGCGATGAAGCCATTTCGCTTAAAAAGAGTACATGTTGTATTGTTACTCTTTTTTGTTTTTTATTTGTTTTTTAAAGATTTTGGTATAGCTGTAGACATCGAAATTTTAAGGGATCAAGCCAAATCCTAAATTAAAGATACTACAAGACTCTTGAAATTCTAGGAGTCTATTAGGGTTTCTCGGAGGTTACTCTACCCTAAATCCTAACTCCCACCTATATAAAGTGTACATATTCCCTTGAAGAGGTGTCTCAAAATCCCATAAACTTTTGAGATATTCACAAAGAGATCAAAATATGGCCGCATACTCCTTGACAATCAAATAGTTCAAGAAGTTGGAGATCAAATATATCCCCAGGAGGTTTGCATCATCCTACATTCGAGAAATACGCTGCTTCAGCTCTCGAATCACGGAGATAATCAGGAGAGAAGAATCAAGGGAACAAACATAGTTGTAACCCGCAATGTTTATCAATAAAATCACTTTATTCTTTTGTGGTTGCAGTTTATTTTTCATTACGTTGAAAATTAGTTGCAAACAATATCCATTAAGATAGTCATTTGATAGCCGTAAGTATAAGGGTTGTTCGATTAAATCACTCTTGATCTAATTTCAAACTTTTTCTGAAGATTGGTAAAAATGGGGATTTTAAAAAAAAATAAAAAATTGTATAGATCATTTACTGCAACAACAATAGATTTGAGAATAAAATAATGCTATTTCAATTTTCTAAAATGCATTTATTTCAAACTAATTTTAAATATTTTTTAACCAAAAGGGCAAATAAAAAGAAAAAGTTGGTTGACGTAGCCCATTTTAGGCCATGCTATTAGAGTTTTGCCATACCGTAGCGACTACATTGATTTATACCACCAACTAAAATACTAAGCACAACTCTAGCAATAGACACTGAAGTTTGAAGTCTTAGGAATGATTCCTAATTTTTAAGCCTTTACTAGTGTAAAATTCAAGAACGCTTCTTTGAATTCAAAATAAGGTATCTGAAACAACGTGAAAAGATTCAAACCCCAGTGATCAATACTAGGGTTTGAACCTATAGAGGTTTAAACAAAATTCAGTAATCGTTGACCTATAAAGGTTTGAACCCAAGTAATTGTTGCTAGGATTTGAACCTAAAAGGTATATTTTCATCGATGGTTCCTCTTTCGAACTCAACCATAATATCCTGAAATTTTAACTTGTAGAAGTTAGAACTCCATGATTGTGTCATGAAGTTCAAAATAAGGTACCATTGCTGGGTTTTAAACATATACATATTTGAATGAGATTTTTTCATTCCTATACACTATTTAAAACTTTATGACCCTTAATGTTCATGTTTAGTTAATTACCCCGCATAAACAAGTTTTGTTTACAAAATATATACAATCCATTATTTGTGCCTTCAATCAAGGGATGTAGTTACACGCTAATCCTATTTCTCTCTTATTTCCCATTCTTTCCACCCACACCGCTTCCTCACACTAAGGATCAATACGCTCCGAGAGACGAAAGGTAACAGATTTTACTTAATTCGTTGGTCTTTTTCCCTTCCAAGCAGAGACACTTAGCAGAGTAAAGATGATCAGATCCAAGATAACGTAGTTTTATCAGTAGTAATATTCAACAACAAACGAAAACGAAAAACTAACAGCAAGAGCCACTACTGCAAGCAACAAAAATACTCATAAAAATGATGAAATCGAAGATGGATGTATTTCTAAGACAACCAATTTGTAGCACAAAACAAATAAATACTCATATTCGAGTCTGTGTGATTATTTTCTTTTTTATCTGATCAAATAAGAATTACCTTTTCCTAAATTTGAAATAATACAATTTAAATTTTCTATAAAACTTTTACTTCCATACTTTTATAGCCACACAATATTATAAGTAGCACGTTAAAGACCACAAAATCATACTCGGACCACAACTTTCAGAAATTCTCATTTTTTTTTTTAACTCCGCATTTAGCTAAACATGCAAACAAGTAAGAACTGAATCATGCAAGAAGAAACCCTATTCGACACCATTTCTTGAAGGAGAACTCAAACAAGTAAGATAACGATGGAGCATTGAATTATACAACTATAATATCATACCACTTAGATACAATTTTATACAATATATTTTTTGTGTATTTTGTACTTGATTCATACACAGTAAATATAAATTTCATACAACTAATTATATATTATACAACTTATCTACAATTTTCATACATTATTTCTACTCAGTTATATACAACTACAATATCGTACAACTTAAACACAAATTTTATACAAATTTTTTAAATATGTCTTTTGTATATTTTGTGTCTGGTTTATACATAGTAAAAACAAATTTCATACAACTAATTATATATTATACAATTTATCTACAATTTTCTTTCATTATTTCTACTTAGTTATATACAACTACAATATCGTACAACTTAAACACAAATTTTATACAAATTTTTTAAATATGTCTTTTGTATATTTTGTGTCTGGTTTATACATAGTAAAAACAAATTTCATACAACTAATTATATATTATACAATTTATCTACAATTTTCTTTCATTATTTCTACTTAGTTATATACAACTACAATATCATATAACTTAAATATAATTTTTATACGGTATTGTTCAACTTTCAACAATAGTTAAATAAAATATATATATATATATATATATATATAAACAACAGAATATAATTTTTCTATAATTTTACTACAATTTCGTAAATATAATGTATATCATGTCTTCTCGAGTTTCAATCTGAAATTCAGCCAAAATCAAGTCTAATCTTCACCAAAACACCCTCAAAATTGAGATATAAACTCCAAACCATATTCCTAATTATTTGCAACAATACCCAATCCAAATAAATAATGGTTTTTGAAAACCCAAATTCGAATTCAATGCTTTCAAAGCTTTTTAACGGCTGTCAATGGTGGAATTGTTGCTCTCTTTTCTTTTACTTTACATTACTAAAATTAGGGATTAAGAGATAGAGAGAGACGTAGAGGAAATCCCAATTCTTTGCAATAACACCCAATTCAAACAAATAATGTTTTTCGAAAATCCAAATTCGAATTAAAGGGAAACAAACGAAACAAAAAGCTAAACTTTTTCTCTGACTTCGAATATGTAGGTGACAAGCTAGATTGTGCAAAATATTGCAGTGAACTTACAAAACTTTGAACAACTAATAAATATTTTTGNGGGATAATATAGTTTCATATAGTGTATAGGAATGTAAAAATCTCTATTTTTTGAATTCCAGTACAGTTTACTGAAATTTTATCTTTAAAAGCTTTAAAGTCCAGTACCGTATTTTTTGAATTTTACATATATTGAGTTTTTCGGACCACAATATATTATGTTGGAGTATCACTTATAGAATATTTGAAATCCAACATCAGTGTGTTGGGGTACTTTTCTAAAAAATGTACCTGCATTTAAATGGAATACGTAAAGTCTAATAGCTATTTAAATCGTAGCTAAACACTAATAGCAGGGCTAAAAAGTGGCTAACTACTAATATTACACGATAAAAAGGACCAATACTATGCAAATCATATGAAAACACACTTTTTGGTTATATACCCTCTTTATTTTAGTTGATGTGATGTATTTTTCATTTTATTTTATCCTAAATATGTTTAAAAATAATCCTATGATTTGTTTTATGGGCCAAAATTTTTAAAATCTTTCTTTTATTTTTAATTCGGGGCATCACATGAACAAAGGGAGTAGCATATATGGGGAAGAATAACAAGAGGAAATAGATTGAATTAGTAGACGGAATGATAATCATAGTTATGATAGAATTGCACTTGTCTTTGCTTAAATTTCCTCAGCCCACCGACTTTTGCAAAGTGCGTG